ACATGCAAATTAAACTCATTTTCACAATAATGGTTGAGCACCAGGCCTCGTTTTGAATAAGAGGCCAAAGGCAATTCGGAAATTGTCTATTGAAGTGGTTATCTTAGCAAAAATAACAAAATAATCATACCTTCGAAGCCTCCTGATCATTTCTTTTGGCAAGTTGTACAGAAATCTTTGAAGCTTCCCCTTTCAAAGAAAATGACACAAAATGCTTTTGTACAATACAGCCATTTGAACTAAAACTGTTTTAAAAGCAGGTAAATGAAATTTAACTGTTGGGAGTAAAAAACATAGAGCATCAGTTTTCTATAATAGTTGGCGGTTTTTGTGTATGCACATGCATCCGAATTCCACATGCTCTTTGATTGAGTGCTTTGAGCATGAATTTCTAGCATTGCTTGGGCTTGCCGTTCATTGTTTTGATATTGTAAGGAGAAATTCTGTCTTGGTCACTTATGGGATTTCTAGGGTTAAGTGACTGCTCTTTCTCTCAGACAAACAGATTAATGAAATCCCCGAATGGAATAAATGCCCCTACAAAAGAATTCCAAACACTTTTTTCTGCACATGCACAGTCAAATTCAAGCTTTTGAACATATTAAGTTTGGAAAATAATCGCAGGAACCAACTGTCCAGCCATTACTTTTGAGAATCACTTACAAAAACATGTCAATACACCATTCCCTCCAAATAAAAAAACCTGCTGTCTTATTGTTGATTTAACAAAGGGCCCTCAATGCTAACACAAGGACTTCCAGCATGTACAGTATAACTACATGTAGATACAAATGTCTTGTACAGTTGTATCTTCATTTACAGCAAATGTACCAGTAAATAAATAAATAAATAAATATGTAAATTGAAGCTCCCTAGCCCTTAGGGGCTTTTAAGCCACGATGTAAACTAAGTACTTAAAAATCCCCACTGGCAGGAGGCAGACCGGTGGACTATTTACAGAGTGCAGCCGGGTAGTTGAACTAGGGGCAACCAAGAACATATCCAGTGAGTGGCAGGGTGGAAGACTTGAACCTGGGACACCAGATTACAAGTCCAGCATCCTAACCACTCGGCCATGCTGCCTCTTCAAAATACAGTAATCACTCCAAAGTGTGGCAAAGTTTTACATTATTTGTAGGTACCGAGTAGCGTCCACTGTTGGAAGGATGATAAAATGATTCAAGTGCTTTGAACAGTTTACAGAGATGGTCCTGAGTGGTACTGGAACCCCCCTGTGAGATAAATGTAACAAATATTGAGAATCACTGTCTACATGATGGTCACAAGAAAGTACAGTACAAGTTACTGAACACAATAAGATCAAGACAACCATATGATCCACACAAGCATTATGCATGTACATGTATGTGCCTGATACAGAATATGGAATTAAACAGAGCACCCTTAAAATTAATAGGACACAATATGATAAACCGCACTATGCTCATATTTTGATTGGTTCATTCTTATGATCTATTGGAATGCAGATGAATAGATTACATTACCATAAACAATGTTTTGCTTTTTTCTTATTTTAAACAAATAGAATCCACAAGTGTGGGGCAAGGAAAAATTTCTCAGTCCCTCGGAATCAAACCTCAAGTCATCTTTCTTATTCTACTCACAAATAGAATCCATGTTGCCATGGCTCTGTACAGTAATACATTGCAGAAGATGCCAAAATGAGAATATCAGTGACACACTTGGCTGCGCCTTGTGTACAACTCTTTTGTTCTTATCACACTTTGAAATCATCTGTATCTATTTGTTTATTGTTAAATATTACTGATAGACTAAAAATACAAAACAACTGCAGATGTGTTGATTTGATTATGGTAGATTAATAATTATTGCATACTGACTTATCTCAACATAGTTTAGGACAAGTAAGCAAACTTCAATACCACAAACTTACATTGGTAACTGGTGCTGTTGTCATTTTCTCAAGCCTGCCTTCCTTTTTTGTTTGAACACAATACCATTCCACAATTATTTCAGATATTCATGACTGCAGGTATTTTAGTTCAGAACAAATGTCTAATGCCAGTCTAAAGATTTATAATGCTCTATTAAAGACATACCATAGAATTGACAATCCACACAACAAATGAACTTATAATACTTGAATAGTCTTTAAGGCCACTGGCAGGAGGATTTCCTCCCACAGGAAGATGAAAATTCCTCACTATCCTTGTAAACACCTGGAAAACAAAAGAAAAGACATTTACAGGGCTTGAAATTTAAAAAAATTCTCAATTGCAATTTGCAAGTAGTTCCTAAAATTTAGTCTCAAGTTCGAAAATTTTAGTTGCAAAAGTAACCAAATTTCATGAGCGTTGCATGATGTAGCTTTTGAAAAGGTGTAGCTGTGATATCTTTCTCAGCAAGAAATCAACGATAAAAGTCACGCAACATTTAACTTGAATTTTGCAGGATTTTTTGCATAAAACTACAGCATCCAGTAACATGTAAACACAAGGCTGTTAAATATAATTTATTTATAAGTTAGGCTGTAAAACAGTCGCAAAATTGCTACCAGTGGAGAAATTTTAGTTGCAAAAGTGAAATCTTTATTCACAAATGTGCCAGATACAGGCGCAATTTCAAGCCCTGGAACTTTAAGCCAAAGGTTCTAAAATGTACAGTTGTACAATGAGTACCAGTAAATTGAATTTCAAAAGTGATGTGACTTAAAAATGTTTATGTCAGAAGTGGTACAAGGAACATGTATTTATAAGAGAAAGCTAACAGCACAGATCCCCTGGATCACATGCCAAGTGTTTTCCACAGTTTTCACCCCTGTCTCATCCCACGTTTGCCCTACAATTGAAAAAGAGTGAAGTCAAACCACCCTAGCCTGCCCCTCTCCCCCCACCTCCTGGATTGCATGCAAAGGCAACCCATGAATAAGCACCCACTCTCTTATCCCACATTTTAAATAAGTGCCTCAAGCACTTATTCAAGGATTAACAATTTGTTTATTTTTACTAACAGTTGCAAGGTATGGGCTCCAATCCACAAATCCCAGATTGTCTTTGGCAAGCCTGGCAAACAACTTCAAGCAGTCCTGAGAAAAGAAATGGAATGAGTACCTTTTGTATCAATGCAACTGCAGTTGCAAATATTTATCAGACTATGCTTGGAGCTGGCCATTTCAAGAGAAGAGTTGACAGCCTTGTGTGTATTCTAACAAACAACATAGTACTTATCATATGCATTCTAACTAAACTTTCAAAATTGTTGACAGCCAAGGTTCTGAGGAATATCACATACATGTACATGTACAGTGTACAGTACCTCTTCCCATCTTGAACTGCCTGTGCAAGCTTGCCAAATTCCCAGCAGCTCATCAAACCATAGCCTAGCAAATATTCCAAACAAAAGTGGCACTTATCATCCAGGAATTGTAAATAAAAGCTGACATTTAAAGCTTTCTTAAACTAATTATAGCAGTCTATAGCATCTAACCTTTGTCAAGTAAGGACTTTAATCACCATACTGATGCTCTACAACATATCAGGGTATTTACAAGTACAAGATACCCTGGTGTGCTTTTCAGTCATCCTTAACTTAATATCATATTCCTTCTCTGTCCCTCTTACACAAAATCATTCCAAGGTAGGTGTCAACAAACAAACCCAAAAAAGCTCATAAAAGAAAAGCTAACAGACAAATAAAAAAACAAAAACAACACAACACATAAGGCCCTACAATCTCAAACAGACATACTACTGTAGAACCAAAGAGGTATGTTTCAAAGAAACAGTGGTACTGCATCGGTGAAGGAGTATAACAGGGTACCTGTAATAATGGTGTGATCAACTGAGTTGATAAAGTAAATTGCCCATGGTGAAGAGTTTCAAAGCTTACATTTCAAGTGTTACCCCTTCTCTGTTTGCTTTGAAGAATGACGCTTTGACCATTAAAGAACCAGTTCATCATTTCACAACCATATTATACTGTGTGTATTGTACTCTGTTAGGAGATTGGACTCTAGTCCATAGTATTATGGTATGTAGAGAGGAACCACGAGGAGAGAGACATTAAAAGGTTGAGTTGAGTTCATGTGTGCTCATCTCTTCCCCGCAATAACGAAGAAAATAACGAAGTTAGTGCTGAACTACTTTGATTCTTTTGTGAACCCTGATTGGAGTAGCCCAAAGGGAAATCTGTAAACATTTCTGCGAAAACAGTCTCCAAACAACTTAGCGCCAAAATCTACCGAAACTGACATAGTGAGGTAAACATCGGTTATTCCGAGCAAATTTTCATTGTCTACCTTCTGCAGGAGTGAGGAATTTAGATAATTTCCACATCTGTTTATTACTGTTGTTGTGAAAGATGGTTGACGAAGAAGCAGAGGATGCTCCTGCTCAAAATGCTGCTGCTCATTTCGCTGGAAGTATTATGAACTTTGAGCGACGAAAGTTCAACGCTCGCCAAGAAAATCGCCTTGAAGCATTAAAAGCATTTAAGAAAAAGTGTGGATATATTTTCAAAGGAAGTCTTGTCAACATATCTGAGGAAAGAAAGTGTATACTGGTACAAGATTGGCTTGGACTGGAAGGCCTGAAGATTTATGACAGTTTAGACTGGGGCGAGGATGAAGATGTAAACAATTACGAACTGATGTGGACTAAACTGGAAGGAACGGTAAGTGCGGAATGTAATGAGATCGTAGCTTCAAAGAAATTCAAGGAACGAGTTCAGAAACCTAAAGAGACAATTACTTCGTTTGTCACTGATTTGTTAGTTAAAGATTGGAATTACATAGATGAAGACCGACAAGTGAGAGACCAATTTGTGTATGGTGTTTCTGATGATGATTTGAAGAAAAAACTGCTTGAAAAAGGAAACACTCTTACTCAAATTCAAGCTGTGTCAATTGGCAAAGCCCATGAAACCACAAATCAAGAAGTTCAAGAATGCTGTCAAAAACCACCTGTGAGAGAAACTACCAATGCTGTATTTAAAGATAAGCCAAACAAAGGTCTTATGTGTAACTACTGTGCTAAGAAGAAAGGATCTCATAGCTTCGCAAACAAGAGAAACTGCTCTGCCTGGGGAGCAGTGTGTAGCCTTTGCAAGATTAAAAATCATTTTAAAGATTCCAAGGAATGTAAGCGACTCCAAAGGGAGAGAAAACCACAACCAGGAAATCAAAGGCAGTCCAGAACAACTAAGAAACCATTTGTCCTAAAAGTTGATGAAGATAGAGAAGAGCATTTTTATGAAGTTATGGACAAAATAAGCACACTAAATCAACAATGTGACCATAGGAAAGCTTTTGCAAACTTACTCATCTCAAAGAAAAGAATTTCTGTAAACCTTCAGATAGACTCTGGTTCTACATGTACATGTAGTATTCTACCAGTTGGTGTGTACAAGGAAATCAGTGGTGATCATGACCTACAGGAACTAAATGCGACTGTCTGTCCAACCCTTTCACTCTATGATGAGAAAACTTAAATCCGAGCCCACTAAGCCAATTAAGTCTGTCAAGAAGATGGAACTAGTTCTTGCAAAACGAACATGTTCAGGATGCTTAGTTAAAATACAAGCAAGATACTCTTCATAGACTGTTAACGTAAAATTGTTATTTTACTGGGGGGAAGGTGTTAGGAGATTGGACACTAGTCCATAGTATTATGGTATGTAGAGAGGAACCACGAGGAGAGAGACATTAAAAGGTTGAGTTGAGTTCAATTGTGCTCGTCTCTTCCCCGCAATAAAATACTCTTTTAGTAAATGATGTGCACTTAGAAAAGTTATGTCAGGCACAAATAAGTTATGTATGCGCAAAAGTTCCACATACTTGTAGCCCTTGTCAAATTTTTCCGAAGGGAGGGTGGTGGGTAAGAACAAGGAAAAGTAGAACATTGCTTTGGCAAACTTGACATCAAAAGGACACAATAAAGGACGCCACTCATCCAACATTTCCTGGGTGGAGTCATCTGAAAAGTATCTGAAATTAACAAAAAGGGAAAAGTAAGTTGGATTAATGTCTGGAAAAAGGCAAATTGACCCATGGCAATCACCACGTTTGTTGTTAGTAACTGAGATCAGTTCAATTTGAAGTCATCATATGTGGGATCTCTCACTTTGGGAATTTCTAACTCTGGGAAAATTTTTTTCACCAAACTAAAAATTAATACGAAGATTTCTTAAAAAATTAACCTTGAGAGTGACTGGCTTCTATTTTCTCCTTACCATATCACCCCTGAATCAAAATGTAAAGGTCAAGAGAATAAAGGAAAGGATCGATAACTTAAGAACTTCTTGGTTGTTAAACAAATATTCTTAATGTCAGTTAGGGTGGAAATGTAAAGAGAATAGTGTGAAAAGTTTGAATATCAATGTTAGGCTGTGAAGAGTTCAACAAACAATGGATAATAACTACATGACATGTAAAACTTCATATTATTTAAAATCAATTCAGGGCTGGCTCTTTGTACTTACACTCTGGACATGTACAAAACATGTTTAACTGTCTCTTCAAGCTTCCTATTGGACAAAAGGGAATAGAGTTATCCACACAAAACAAAATAAAACAAACACTTGTTGGTCCTAGATTCAAAGCAATCTATGGCTCAAAGAAAGGTGTTATTCATTTTTTTCATGAGCGAGAATCGCAAAAATTTTTTAGTTCACTACCAGGAACCAAACCCCAGACCCTGTTTCTGTGCTGTGATGTTCTAGAAATGTGCTACAAAGAACTCTATGATGAGTTAAGCTGCTACGAGGTTCATAATGTGACATGCTCACGCATGTCACAACCTTATTTATTTATTTATTATTACTATTTTATTCCCCTTTTTTTTTCTTACTTTGTAATGTCATCTCATGTATTCTACAAGCGATGTAATATACCTCTATTACTTTTCCACTTGTTATGTTAATACTTTAAGGGCTACTTTTCAATTATTTTTTCTTCATAGCTTGGCCAAATTTGACAGGCTGTAATGTAAACCTATTCTCTCCTATCGCTTCCCGCCTCGACTAGCCAATGCTATTTGCGGGAAGCGACCATTTTTGTATCTTTCTTTTGTCAAATAGTAAATAAAGTTGTAAGTTGTAAGATATGCCAAAGCATTCATCAGCAACAGAAGCTCTTGATCTACTTGGTTGGGATACATTGGAAAAAAGACGAAGATCTCATCGTCTATTTTTGGTTTTTAAGTCCTTGAATGGACTAATTGATTGGAATTTTAATTTTAATCATTTTAAAGACATGCATGATTATAACACTCGTTTTAATAACAACATTTGTAAACCACAATCAAAGCGTACATGGGGTCAGCATCGGTTTGTTTGTCATGCAGTAGATGACTGGAACGCTCTCCCAGACGGCATTAGGAACATTTCCGATTTTTCAGTTTTTAGACGTCTTGTTAAAAATATGTAGTCTCTTCTATTGATTATGCCCTTTTATCCTTTTCTTGATAACCATATTTATATTTTCTGTTATCCTTACGTTAGATTTATGCAGGGCCTCACTGAAAACCACACTTTGTGACGTGGGCTCCCTGTCAAAAGATCTTACTTATTATTATTATTATTATTATA